TCATACAAATAACCATGAAAACACACGTCAGCTATGGACAGAGCTGCTGGGTTTAAGGCAACCTGTAAAGCATCCTGGCTGTCACTTTAATATTTATCCAAAAATAAATAAAAAACTATTTAACAACCATAAACATTATGTGACTCATTCCATCTCAACTATTTCTCTACTGTCAAAAGCTTTTTAACTTAAATACTGAATGCATTTAACTATTTATTGCATTTTGAGCAAATTAGCAGAAACCCAATTTTTAATAAAAGCATGTTAGAACACCTGATCTATGTGAGGACTGCTGGTGAAGAAGTGACGAATTTGAAAGTTTCACAAACACAAAAATCTTTAAACACTTGTTTTCTCTCTCTCTCTCCCTCTCTCTCTCTCTCTCCCTCTCTCCCTCTCTCTCCCTCTCTCTCTCTCTCTCTCCCTCTCTCACTCTCTCATTTATCTGAGTTCGCCCCCTGGTTCCCCTCAACCCCGAGCTGCTCTCCAGGCTGGCGTCCCCTCCTACCTGAACCAGGTGAAGAGTCCGGAGCCTGGGGCTGAGCCCGGCCGTGAGCCTGCTGGCTGTCATTGTCCATAACACTGCCCAAACCTCTGCTCTCCTCTGTGCTCCTAACAGCTGTCATTCTCCTGCCTCCAACCTGAGGCAAACTGCAAAATGCATGCCTGTTTGTGCACACCGAGCCGCTCAATATTTCTTTGTAATAAAAAAAAAGTAAATAAAGGCCGGGCTGCAGACTCGCTTTACATTTTGCGGCACGTAAAACACACACATAAAAAAAGCTACACCTTAAACATAATCTGGTTTCACAAAATAAAATAAAAAAAAGCTCACAGAAGTGGTTTGCTGGATCAAACGAGAGGAACTCAGCGAACCTCTTCTGACTTTGTTGTCGTCAAACAAACGAATTACTCCTACATTCTTAATCAACACATTCATCGAACGCTACAAATCACCCACAACATCCGGACGCAGGAGAAACATGAACACATGTGACTCTGGAGCAGGAGCTTGGATGATCAATCAGAACATTTATTTCATTACTCAGATTATTTCCTGGTGATTCATTAAGCCAGCTTCACTGGGATCATTCACTTCATTTCAAGGATAGACAGTGTTAGAGAAAGCTAAAAAACAGATGATGGAAATGCAACAGGAATTTTCTTTCTTGTATTTAATTGTGATGTCTCTAATTGGTTTAGAAGCTTTTAATGAATAAATGTAAAACTGTAGCTGCTGGTAAATAAACTGACTTCTGGTTAAAGTACAATTATTCTTTTAAATTTGAACAATGTGGCAAAATGTTTTCATGTGTTCTATATTTAGTGAATTATATATGCATGAATGAGAAAGTCAAAGTGCTTAAACCAGATTTAAACAGAAAATAAACATAAAATAGATAGTATATGCTTTGGTGAGGACAATAAAGAAGATAAATGAAGCTTCTGAGGCAAAGTTTTTGAAGCTAAAATGCATTTAGGTGTCTTTTTTAAAATATTCTCAGTACTTTCATTCATTTTGTAAAGAATGCCAATTAAAAGAAGGCAAAGCTGTCTATTTTAGCACACTTTTTTGGTTTTGACAGTAAAAACTGTCGCTGTATACAATATTTTACAGATTAAATGAGAAAAAAATCACAAAGCTTATATATGTTTTCTTTTTTCAAACAGGCTAAGAATGAAGCCTGATTCAGCAAAAAGCAGGCGATGTTGGAAGGTAATTTCACTTAACCTTTATTTAACCACGTTAGTCCCGTGAGATCAATTTCTTGAAGAGGAGGAACACCTGGTCCAGACAGTTGTGGGCAGAACAACAGTATCAACACTGTAGAGGAAGTCAACTCAGAAGGGAAAGATAAAGCTACAAAGCGAGGAAACAAAGAGAGGAGGAACAACGGCTGTTTTCACCGCCACGTGACAGTCAGGTGAAAACAAACTGTAGAGAGGAGCTCATTCAGAGGAGGAGGGTCTAGAGAGCAGCTTTATCAAAACAAGAACTTCTGTTGTGATAAGTTGATGGATTTAGTTTCTTTTGTTTGAAGTTTTCAAGAAATATGTGGTAGAAAAAGGACTGTCAGGATGGACGATGAAATGTCTGAGAAATCCCCACGATAAACAATATTGTTTGGAGACCATTTTAAACTATTATAATGACCCCCCAAATCTTTATTTTTTTAAAATGAAGCTTAAGTTTATGAAATTTACATATGTAAAAAATAAAAACTAAAAATTTATGTCGGCGCAGTTTATTGTGTATATCTCTTCCTCTGGCTTCACAAAATATTGTGAAATATTTATATGTGTAAAATATATGTGAAAATATTTCACCCTCACACAGCTTATGAAATTTACGGAAGTTTACGAAATTTGCGTAAAGTTACGGATGGGCCGAGAGCGGATGTCCTAAAACATAAAACAACAAAAGCTCGTGAAGCTGTAACATCGCTACACAACTTTTCTATACAAGTTGACGCAATTTATTCTTTGTGTCTCTTCCTCTGGCTTTATAAAGTAACTGCAGTCACCCTCGTGTTGCTTAACAAATTTACAGGTTTACGAAATTAACGTAAAGTTACAGATGTGTCGGGAGTAGATATCATAAAACACAAAAGCTCATGAAGTTGTAACATCGATACCCACCTCTATCCAAGTTGGTGCAATTTAGTGGCTTCATAAAATAACTGCAGTCACCCTCACGATGCTTATGAAATTTAGTGAAATTTAGGGAAGTTTACAAAATTTGCGTAAAGTTACGGATGGGCCGGGAGTGGATATCGTAAAACACAAAACAACAAAAGCTAATGAAGCTGTAACATCACTACCCAACTTTTCTATCCAAGCCGGCACAATTTATTCTTTGTGTCTCTTCCTCTGGCTTTATAAAGTAATTGCAGTCACCCTCACATTTCAGAAGTTTACAAAATTAATGTAAAGTTACAGATGGGCCGGGAGTGAATATTGTCAATCCAAAAACAACAAAAGCTGCAACATCGCTACCCACCTCTATCCAAGCCGGCACAATTTATTGTGTGCGCCTTCCTTTGGCTTCATAAAATAACTGCAGTGACCCTCACAATGCTTAAGAAATTTAGGGAAGTTTACAAAATTTGCGTCGTTACGGATGGGCCAGGAGCGGAGATTGGAAAACGCAAAACAAAACAACACAGCTGCTGAATCTGTAACACCCCTACCCACCTCTATCCAAGCCGGCACAATTATTTGTTTTCCTCTGGTTTCATAAAATAATTGCGCTCAATTGCATGCTGCTTACAAAGTTTACGAAATTTACGTAGTGTAACAAAAAAAAAAGAAAAAAGAAACAACTCTTGGCGAACCCAAGGTTTAGCACGTTGCCCTGAATCAGGGTCACCAGCTGACAGAAGGCAAACCGAAGCAGCTCCTCTTGCTGAATACTTGTTCACAGGGCTCTCATGTTAAAAGACTGTTCACCTGGAATATACCTGATGCCAGAGTTCACTCCTCGCTATGCTAAAGAGCAGAAAAAAAAAGAGTAGAAAAGAGGGACAAGGAACAAACAAGCAGGCAAATGAAATTATCAACCTTGTTTTAATTTACCAACCTCATTTTAATTTGATTTGTTGCTTATTGTGACAGGCTTAGGAGGACAGTCTAAAAAAATGCACAAACCTCGATTTAATAAACAACAATAAGAACTCTAAGTATTGTTCTGAAGGCAATAAAAGAGAATGAGATGAGCAGTGCGTCTGATTAATGAGAAAGTGATTGACTCCATGTAAACACAACACACAAAAGCTGAGCTGCGGGACACGCAGTCCTGCGTCCCGCCTGTCCCTCCTCCAGTGGTCTCCGGGGACCTGTTATTGTGGCAATGAGCAGGCCTCAATGGCACGAACAGGGGTGTGAGTGTGTGTCCTGAACCCGCTGTGTGTCTGTGTGTGTGTAACAGTCAATCTGTGCGTGCACCGGCTCGAGGGGGGAGGGCGGGTGTCCGAGGAGGCCTTTAGAAAATCCCTAATTGCCGTTCTTCTCCTCTCCCCCGGCCGTCACACCTTCCCCGCGCTAAGACTTTCCAGCCTCATCACACACACACACAGGAAACACAACACTAATTAGACACAGCACAACCTCTCCTAATCACACCCGTCCACGGCTGTGACCAAAATGTCAGCGTGCAGCCATGGGTTTACTTTTTTTTTTTTTTTATCATGCGTGTGGTTTTTAACAGAATTTGGAGTCCACTTACATTTTTAAAATAAGAGGTGAAAAAGCTCCAGCTGGTACTACAGAGGTGTAGATACAAGGTGGGAGATTATCCAACCAGAGTCCCCGAGGCTGTGTGCACGAGTTTAGTACAGAAGTGTGTAATTATAATCGCACAAACTAAACTTTCCTACACTGAGAAAATACATGCRCGTTCTCCATTTAGACTGTGCTATGGTCTTGTTTTAATTAAACCAGAAAACATTTTTAACTCTCCTCATATATTTATTAATGAGTGTGTAATTTTTTATCTTTTTTTTTTTTTTTGTGATCGTGCACATCGCACTCCGGCTCCGCACAGAACAAAGATAGGATTTATTTAATTATTATTTTTTATTTTTTTTGCTTTCCTACTTATGGTGCACAAGCAAATTCTTCAGAGGAAACGCTGACCAGCAGATGAGTTGCTTCAACTGTCCGTGCTGTTCAGAGGAAAACACTGAACGTACAACGAGAGCGTTGGGGAGGGAGGGAAAAAATGCTTATGATTACATTTGGAATCCTGACAAACGACTTTACTTCCAACAGTGAGGGAATGAGGGGGGGGGGGCAATAAAAAGCGAGAAAAAAAAGCTCTGGAGCTACAAGAAAAGGAGGAAATAAGAGTAAAAATTGGACGGAAAAAGAGTGCAGGAGTTAAAAACCGAATCTATGATGGTCAAATAAAAACAGAGCTACGGTACGATCAGTTGGTGTAACTACTTAACTGGTGTGTGTTTGTGTGTGTGTGTGTGTGTGTATAAGCGTGCTCGTCGTACCCGTCTCATCTTCTGCAGTCTCCTTGGAGACAGGCTCTTGGTGCTGGTAGGAGACCCTGCACAGACTGACATCCCGTTCTCTTCGTCTTCCTGAGAGAGAAGATGAATAGAAATGGGAGACGCGCTAATGAGTGATCAGTTTCTGGACTAATCAATGCATCGTTTGGTTTAGCTTGTTCTGATTTTTCTCCATGCATTTAAAAAAAACATTTTTCTTCTCTAAGTTGTGCTTCTTTAATTACATCAGTCTTTCTACTGGTAATATGGTTAAAACATCAAGCTGCACAAAATGTATATTGTGTATATATAGTTGTGTGTTTAATATCAATACTGTGAAGGGACTGTAATAAATCACAAGCATATTCAGTGTTTTGTCAATTCAATCAAGTCTCACTGCTCTTGATGCTCACACCAGATTTAAATGATAGTGGTCAAGATGCAAAAACAAGAGTTTTCTAAATATTTTATATCACGCAGCTAAAATCAGTTAAAAATACTACAATACAAAAACACACTGCTGCATTGAGGTTGGTTTTTGTCTGGATCACTTTGGTTTTAATCCTTCAAAACATTTCTCATCCATCACACGTATACCTTGAACAGGTTGATGAGGTGATGGAAGGAAAAATAATAAAAAAAGAAGAAGCAAATCTCCAAATTAATTTCTCCTCTGCGTGAAGAGGAAATCTGTTTAACTTCAAACAACAGATCTCTTCCTGTGTGTTTGCGAGCGTGAACACGGTGGAGAGCGGCGCCCTCGCTCCTCTTTTCCCACTGACACATCAAACTGCTATTGCCTTATCAAATCCATCAGGCTTATGGAAACATACACCTCGTTACATTAGCTTTGAGGAAATCACAGGCTCACTGATGAAATATGCAGACAATAAAAGAGAGAGAAGGGCTGGGGTTTCGCATGACATGACAGGCCATAGCCAGAGGGGCGCTAGTTAAAAATGTACAGCCTTGAACAAAGCGCTAAGCAGGCTTCAACAGTCATTAAAAGGCCCCTACGTCAGAATCACACGCTCCATGTAAAGCAGCCTTCCTGTCTGTTTCCATGAGGGAGGTGTGTGTCTGTCTGCATGCCTCTGAACAGAGTTGTGTACATGTGTGTTGGTGTGCGCTGCAAAAAAAAAAAAACATGTCAGACAGGTGTGAAGGTTCACGCAGCTCACCCTAGCTTTGAGTCTGCCCTTAAAGTCCCGAATGCCCTTCTTCGCATGAACCTTGGCCTAGGAGAGAAAATAATAATAAAACACACACACATACCCAGACAGATTACTAATCAAAACATGTTGCATTAACATTCTGATCTGGTTTCATGTAACATCAAGAAATGCTTTGATCCTCGTGGCAAAAACACGCAGACAAAAGGCGGGATAAGAGCGCCTCGCACACTAACAGGAGGCGATAACATGAAAGGGCACCCTGACCACCTATTGTACGACACAGAACGGCTCATCAAACATTCACCAGTCGTGAACAGAGCTCTAGAGCTCCACAACCAACTCTTACAGACATGTTTTACAATTATTATTATGGTTTTTTTTAATATTCAAGAATACCAACGTTTTCTTTCTTCAGCTGGTAAATTGTGTCGTTTGTGGTCGGCTGACAATATCTTGTGAAATTGAGAATCCCTCTTTTTTTCATAGAAATGCCAAATAAAATACCTTTGACACAGAAGTTATAAAGAGTGCTCCTCCTTTCTGTAACAGAAAAACAAAACTGTGAGTCACTTAAAGGTAACTGTGGTAAATACATAAACACAAATATTATCATAAAAGTACTGAATGAAGGATATTGACTGACCTATAATGAAAACATAAAGCAAAGTGCTAAAAATATGCTTTTTTCACACTCCTTCAAGGTTTAGAAAACTAGTCTTTGTCAGGAGTTTGTTTAAATAAATAAATAAATAAATAAATAAACAAATAAATAAATATTTTCCCATTTACCTAAGTATCCAAACTCTTTAATGATGTCACAGTTGAGCTCTAGGTTCATCTTTTTTTTTGTTAAAAAGTGTTTTTTTCCCAATTGAATGAAGTCCAACAAACCTTGTTTCCCACTGCCATGATCTAAACATCAATCAGTTTCTAACTTTCTTAATCTTATCTATAGTCTTTGATTATATCCTGCAAATCTAGGTTTCATTTCCATTAGAGAACTTCTTGATACTGCCATAAACAAAAACAAATGATAAAATGTCTTTGGGCAAAAGTCTGAACTGGCGTTGAACAGTATGAATCACAACCTGAAACCAACTGTGCAACTCTAAGGAGTTGAGAAAGTGATTGAACACTGATGCTTCACCAATGAACCAATGTAAAAGTGTTTGTCAAGAAGAGCTGGAGGGGAAATTTCAAAGAAAGATGTTGTCAACTTGATCATTCCACAGACTTAAAGGAGATGTATCCTGCTTTTAAATCCTCCTTTAACATTTAAATCAGTCAGTTAGGGTCTATATAAAGTGGAACTGCAATGCTTTGCTCTGATCTCCTTATTGTAACTTCACAAGCCCCTCTTTCACCTCTTTTCTGAGGTGTGTCTCACATCAACTCGTTTTGAGGCTGTCTCTCTAAATCCAAATGAGGTGCATCACACCCCGCCCCCCTGCAGCTTCCAGAGCAGTCCATTCTAGTTCGAAAGAGGGGTTTACTGCTTAACAACATAATTTTCAACACTCCTACAGACTCCAAGTACAATAAAATGTGTTTAACAGTTAAAAAAGTGGATTTTGCATGATATGTCCCCTTTAAGATCACCATCAGTGCCAAAGTGCCAAAAATGCTTCAATCAAGGACAAAGTAATGGGTCTGAATACTTATGTCAATGACACATTTCAAGTTCATCTCTCGTTAAAATGTAAAGAAAAAAGAAATAATATCTATTTTTAAATCTCCACAGTAAACTTTTACATCCCTTTTCTTTGTAGAAATTGAGGATATTAAAACAAACCCCAAACAACAGATTAGTATCTCAACAGGCTTGGTTTAAGTGTTACATTAACAAACATCGATGTTTAAACTTATTTGTGCTGTAAAACACAAAGAACACTGAGGCAAGGAACAAGACTGAAGAGTTTGTTTTTTTAAGTATTTTGCATTTTTTGTGGCAGTAAATTAAGACAGTTTGCACATTCAGCAAAGCTTCATAAGATATCACTAGAGAAAAATCATAAATAATACAGATATCTGTAGTCTGAGTAAAAAACTCAAAACAATGGCTGTAGCTAACAGAGCTACCAATAAACCTGCTAGACATTCTTCAAGCTCTTCTTCCCTAATAGTGATTTAGTGTTTTCATTTTTAAAAAAGATTCACATTATTCTATCATCATCCAAGAACTCAGGAAGTATTCAAAATCCACTCAAACATCTACACCTGTCAGTGGTACAGTAACAACTGCAGAAAATGGTGCTGATGAAGAATAAAGACTTTCACTGATCTGCAGTAAATTGAGCATTTCACAGCATTCAGGATTTTTTTTTTTATATAAAGCCTAAAACAGTGATGGAAAGGACTGGATGAGATTAATTCACGCTTTGAGTTTAGCAGACTGACATTATGATACCCAACCTCCCTCTCTCTCTGCGCCTTTCTTCTTTCCTTTCGGAGTTGCCGTTTCTTTCCTTTGCAGTCTTCTCTGTTTGGTCTTTAGTGTAAGCACAAAACTTCGACTAAACGGCTAAACAGAGTAAATGGCAGGCAGCGTTTCAGAAGTTGGCAGAAAGAGGAGAAGAGAGGGGCCGAGGTGAAGGCCTCTCTTATAGATCCCTGTCAGTCAGGAAATGTGAACTTTACCAAACCTTTGAAGATCACTCTTGAGAACTAATTCAGCCTTAGCTGACGGCATGGAGAGATAGGGAAGGGGGGAGGGGTGACGGAGATGAAAAGAGGGGGTAGAGATAAAGACAGATAGATATGGGAGGGAGAAGGAGAGGAGGGTAGAGCCCGGAAGAGATGAAGGAGGAAGAGATGTATGTTCTTGGGTTGGTTGAGTGGAGTAAAGCCTGTGTTTGCTGCCAGATCAACATGTCATGTCGAAGGACGTCTTGTCACGTCAAATCACTTCTGTCTTCCTTCCTGTCTGTATCCACTGTCCTGCTGCACGCACTGCTACACACGCACACACACCACACTGCACAAACTGGATCTGTACATTCAGGCAACCCCTTCGTTCCAAAGGCAAGACTTCAAACACTGAGCTGTGTCAATCACATCTTCAATTAAATGTAACCTAGGAATAAAATGAATAAAACTCCACTGATAAAATCTTTTGGGTACAACAGGAAGGACTTTCTGTAAATACCTTCACAGTGTGCATCCATTGCTGGTACGACCTTGAATTACCTGAAGGGATGTGTGAAAGAAAGAGGATATGAATTAATCATTTTGGACTCAGTAGCCCGGCGTTGTCATGATGATGCAGGAGTAACTGTAAACCTCGGCGGGACACAATTTCATACACAGACAAACACATTACTAAGCAATTCATCTGAACTAAATACGAGACGAGAAAACAAATACTAATCTGGTGAAAACAAATTTTAATTTGCTGGACTTCCTGACATGAGCTCACAAGAGAAAATCTCACTAAATACATGATTTTTTTTAGCAATTAGATTAATATAAAAAGTACTATTATACATACAGGACATCACGTTACAACTACTGTATAAGCATATTGTATGCGATTAAAAATACTCCACACTCCCATCAGATGCAGAGCCCCGTCGTATGGAGGAAACCATCCAGAGATCTACATTCAGCTGCATTAAGTCCTAGCACAGGCTTTTAAGGCTTGTCTGACCTTTATTTGATTATGTACCAGGTAAACACTGTTAATCACTGGTTAAAAAAACTCACTTATTAACAAAGAAACTGCTCAATCTTGCTCAAGTGAATAAAATATTGGTAAAAACATAAGGTGTGGAAGGTTAGAAGGTAAGAACAGCTCAAAAGAAGGAATGTGGGAGCAACTCTGATGTGTCACAAATATTATACCTTTGATGTTTTAAAAATCAAAGAAAATGTGAGCTTTTTATCTCTTTTTTCATGAAGGCTGTGAGTTTTTGTCTTGTGAGATAGTGTCTTGTAAGGTTTTGTCTTGTGAGATAGTGTCTTGTAAGGTTTTGTCTTGTGAGATCGTGTCTTGTAAGGTTTTGTCTTGTGAGATCGTGTCTTGTAAGGTTTTGTCTTGTATGACTGTGTCTTGCATGATTGTGTCTTGTGCCTTGTATGACTGTGCCTTGTATGGTTTTGTCTGGTATGGTTTTGACTTGTATGACTGTGCATTGTATGACTGTGTCTTGTATGATTGTGCATTGTATGACTGTGTCTTGTATGATTGTGTCTTGTATGACTGTGTCTTGTATGACTGTGCATTGTATGACTGTGTCTTGTATGGTTTTGTCTTGCATTACTGTGCATTGTATAATTGTGTCTTATATGATTGTGTCTTGTAAGGTTTTGTCGTGCAAGGTTTTGTCTGCACACCAATTTTCTGACATGGTTTGTGAGAATTGAGAAACTGAACTGGATTTAAAACGTACAAACTTAATTTAGGAGAAATTCAAACAGATTAAAACCATGTATGTGAAAATGTTATAAACTAACTTCACGTCATGCATAAAATTTTAAACTGTAATTTCCAGACGTGGGGTTGTCCACTATAGGCTCCTGTGGCACAGACTAAGCTTTTATTTTTAATGGATTTTTGTCTTTACATTACTTTTACTTTTACATTTTGATTTGATTTATTGATTTAACAGGAAAAGATTACTAAAAATCAAGCCTGACTCAGCATAATTGCTGTTTTACAACAGGTTCCTGTTCTGCAGCACACAAAACACTCAGAAATACAGCATCACAATCACATCATTATACACCATAGACACAAAGACAAACAAGCATTCCAAATTTCAGGAAGGCAGCATTTGCAAAATAAGACGTCTGAATACTGTATGAGCACAACAGAAAGTGTCCAGCAGATGGCAGACAAGATTCTTCTTAAAGGGCTGTAGTTTTGAAATAGACTTTATGTTTTGAGGAATGTCATTCCATGCTTTAGTATAAACATAGAAGAAAGACCTCTGGCCGTAACAGTTTTTAACAGTTGGTGATATCAGTTGTCCTTTTGTAACAGATCTAGTTGAATGACCACTTCCAGAATTTGATTTGGGCAACAATGCACGGAGAGTTCCATAAGTGGCACCTTGGAAGATCTGAAAATATAAATTAATACCACTATACAAAACATAATTCTGAAAAGTCAAGGCATCAGACAATGAAAGAACTGTACAGTGATGAGTCCAACCTTTTATGAATTTTGTAGGCCCTGTTGTAGAGCCTAACTATGGGTTCTAAGATTTCATTTGTTGTAAGAGACCAAACAGGTAAACAGTACGACATGGTTGAGAGTATAATGGCATGAAGATAGATATTTGAAACAGAAGATGTCAGATTGGATCTAATTTTTGAATAAATGTATAATTTCTGTTTCAACTTAGTGGTTAAAACTTGTACATGATCACGATAAGTCAAATGAGAATCCAAAGTAATTCCAAGATATTTGTAGGTAGTGACAATATCAAGGGGTTTGTTTAAAAAAGTGAGTTGATTTGTTATATTGAAATGTCTCCTGGGTGAGGAAAAATACATACAGTTTTTTTAACATTAAYTGACAAAAGATTATCTTGAAGCCAACCATGAAATGTCTGAAGATCTGCTTTGTAGTTTTAAAACCAGTACCTTTCCGCTTTTACTTGAGTAAAAAGCTGAGTTGATGCTCTAGCTTCTACACTAGTATCTATAGTTCTAATTGAGTAACGACCCTGCTGTTTCATTGTAAAACACTTAAATCTTCACCGTCTTTTAATGAGTTCCAACTATTGTGATTTTATTTTTAAAATCCAGCCAGTTTTCCAGCTCTCATTCAATCAGAATTTGTGCTCCACCGCTTATAGAAAACACTAAGTCAGTACTCACTTCTACAGAAGCCCCCCTCTGTGATCTCTTCTTCAAACACGTCGCTGAAGCCGCGGCCTGCGTTCAATTTAGCCAGCCGTCCGTCGATGAACTACAACCATAAATTACAAGATGCTTATTAGAGTCTGCAGGAGGAGAGAGGCAGGAGGGGGTGAACACAATCACATACACAAACTCAAACACTTCAACCGCAGGGGGGGTATATTAATCCTATGTGACTGAAACTAAAACCAAGATTAGGCGGGTTGAAGGTAATAGGGATTTGTTAATATGGAGCAGGTGAGGGATTAGAGCAGCCGACTACTTTCTTCACACTGTCTGAGACGTGAGGAAGTTTCATTTCCTCTCTTTGTAACATGCAGCACATAAAACTCCACACCGTAAATATGGACTTAATGGCCAACAAGTTTCATGAGCGCAGTGACAAAAGCACATCAATATGATTTTCAAGCATCAGCAAACTCAAACAATAAAATAAAACTTGACTTTAAGATTCATCTAACAAAAAACTGTAATCTTTAGATAAGATTTAAAAGTCAGATTTTTAAATAGGGTATGAGCAAATTAAATAAAAAAAGGCTGTCACATTTATATTAGTCATAGTTTTAACCTGTATTCCTTAGTCTTAGATATTTGTCTTTTTTATTGTCTCATATCAATGTTGGATTAAAAAAAAAAACAGAATATTTCCAAGACAAATAAATAAATACAAAAACACTAGAACACGTGTCAAACTCAATGCCCGTGATTTCTTTCCATATTAATTTAATGTAAAAATAGTTCTTATATAAACTATGAACTTTAAATTTATGATTCAATGAAACAAAATAAACAAATCTAAAAGGTAAAAGATACTACAATCCTGCCCCTGAGCTGCTGGCTTTAAGTAGTTGTGGCCCCGAGCAGTTTAGTTTAACCCAGCATAGACCCTGAACTACGGCCCCCATAACGCATGTTGTGACCATTTATGTTGAAATCTTGTAAATTATAATTTCTACGATTTTTTTTGTTTTTTCTTTAGGCAGTAATATACTTAAGCTAGTTTGGAAACTAAATCTGTAATTAATTATATTTGGAAATGTTGGGGTGACTTTAGTAACTTTTGGACCCTCCCAATAATTTAAGTGATTAAGAACACATCGGGGGTCGTGGTGGAGATGGTTTTCTGTTTGTCAAATGTCTGGTTCGATGACGGGAGGGTTTTTTAAAATGATTTTTGACCACCTTTTTTGAACTTGTAAAATCAGATTAGGTTAACTTTCGTTTACATCTAAGCTGTAAGAAATTATCATTTTTCATGTTTGTTTATATTTTTGCTTGAACTAAATGACAAGTTGTAAGTGCAGTCAAGAAACAAACCACCACGCATGGCCTTTTCCTGGGATTTTCTCCATAATTTTCCCTTTGGGATTGATAAAGTATTTTTGAATTGAATAATTTAGGCATTGGAGCACAGAAGGCTGTGTCAAAGCATGTTGATTATGAATGGGAATTCCTTGTCGGAAAGTGGGTTCAAGATGGCCACTCAGCACAATTTAAAAGTGAATAAAACTAACTTTTAATAGTAGGTCTATTTTTTTTTTCAATTTACTCAGTTGTAAGTGTAGTACTTTTCAGTATTTATAAACAGGATGTGTTAAAACACTGTTTCTATGCAGGAAATACCACAAAGAGCTCTGTTGTTTTTTTAGCAGTGCACAGATGCAGCAACCAAATGATGAATGTGATGTTTTGTTTTGTGAAAATGAGTTTAACACCCCTTTCACTAGGCTAAGGACTGGTACTGGTCCATGGAGCATTTGGTACTGGGTCACACTTTAAAAACTTTTCTTTAAAAAGTGGTGATATTTAAAAATGTCAGTTTTCTAAACATTTTTTCTCATCAAATTTCTGTAAATTGTTGTCTTGAGTGACTTTTTTTCAACAACCACTTAACAGTTTTACTGACAAAGTTCTCAAAAACACAAAAAAATTATATTGCTCAATTGTAAACAAATTTGATGACCTTTACGACTTTCAACGTTAATATATTTTCTGCACATTTGTAAAAAAGAGAAACGACCAGTAACAATCTTCATTTAATAAAAAATGTGCACTTACATGAATAAACCATTTGTTTAAAGCTGGTTTTTGACTGACAATTTTAGCAATTAATGATCAGCACCTCAAACTTTTAAACCCTTATTTTAGTTTTTATTAACAAATTCATTGCTGATTACTTTTTTCTCCTCCTGCTTTTACTGTAAACAATCCCCCCACCCTCCCACTTCCCCCCGTCCCCTCATGTAACACACAGTGTAACACCAGTACCGGCTGTTCTGGGGTGCGTGTCCTCAGGGACAGCCTGCTAACTAGCGACCAACACGGCTACCCGCTCTTCTGGTCAGGAGAGCTGGAAAAACTAATCATTAGATCATTTTAATGAGAGGTGAGACCGTGGCTTCCATCCACCGCTCAGCTACATGGCTGGCCCAATTAGCGGAGATAATCAACCCAAATCATCACCTAGCCCGAGCCTCCACTTAAACACCCCCACTCAAACCCCAGCCAGATTACCTGCCTCACTGTGGGGCTTTAATTGGACATTACTCAAGAATGGCAGACTGTGATCACAAACATGCAAACCAACACACACACACTTTAAAAAAACAACATGATACATCTGCACACTTACAGGCACACACACACGAACAAAAGGCAAGAGCTTATTTTTCTTTTTAAGAGAAAATAAAACCGTAAAAACAAATTGTTGCATCCAAAATGGAGTCTGGTTTATTAGGACAAAAATCAGATCATTAAAAGCCACTTAATTCTGTCAAAATTTGTATTTTCAGACATTTTAGTGCCTGAATATTCTATTAATTTTACCTAAACCACAGCAAACTCTGATCAAATAACACAAATCAGACATGTGTGAACACCTGGAGACAGACTGACATCATTGCAACGTACGTACATGCTTCATATATGTGGCTACTAGCGTGCTAATCCATTCACACATCAGTCTCCATGATGCTGTTTTGTTAATATTTCATATTTCTTCAGTCATAAACTGGGTTAGGAATCAGCTGAGGCTTATTTACAGACATGAACATAAATTAACTTAATTTTTTTGTATTTGAAGAATGTGGAATTAAACTGTTCTCACTGCTGATATGATTAATGCGCTGGAAGGCGTGTCAATAAAGCATACTGAAAAATATCAAATTTAAATAAAATATGCTTAGAACAAAAAGCAAGGAAATTTGTTTTTGGTAGAATAAGTTATTTCTTTGTCGTATCAATGTTTCTTTACAATAAATCTTTTACAGAGCACCTGATTGGACCAGAAGTGTCAACAGCAACAGTAAAATAAGCTGTTGAGTAGAGACGATTTGGTAAATCTTTTATGAGCACAACCCACATACTCAGCTCTACTGCTCATCACACAAATGCATGTTCCTTACAAATGTGGCACCATTTAAAAGGGAAAATAACAGTTTTTCCAGCAGTGTAAGGTAAATTGCCAAGAAGCATTGTTACAACAAAGAAATAATCTACCAAACACACAATTCTTTACTTTTTTGGCACAGATTTTTATTTATTTATTTA